GAATTAAAAAAAAAAAAACACCTGCAAAAAAGTCAGTTATTCAGATGAATGACAGCTTCAGTACAACAGATTAGGCATTTCTAAGCATGGAGAAGAGATGGTGGAGAAGTATATGATACAGGGCTATTAAACTGTAAATAGTTTGAATAAGATGAATTGCTTAGGAATTATTTATAACTTCACAAAAAAACAAACAAACAAACAAACAAAAAAAACTTCAGACCCTTCAGGAAATTATCAGGCAGCAAATTAAACACAGTAGATTTTAATAGAATATGTAACTAAATTATAGGCCTCACTGCCACAGAAAAAAATAGTCATAATAATAAGAAAATAAAAGTACAAATGTGTTCCAAAAGTGATGCATAAATAGAGGCAAAAGACTACACTTGTGGCTGTAAATCATGATAACCTTCAGTCTGGGGAGCCCTTGAGCTGAGAAGATACAGTAGAGGAAGGATCACTTTCATGTTCTTCCTAAAATTTTCATGTACTGGCTTCTGTAGTGAACCTGGTTCTTTCAGTCTAGCATGAAAGGACAGAGGTTCTTATGAAATGCACAAATGCAGAATTGCAAACAATTTGCTAGCTGGGAGTTCTACAAGAAAGTATCTTGGGAGTACGGTGAATGACAAGCAGAACAAGACTCAGCAATGTCATGCTGCTCCAGAAAATGAAAAGCATCAAGTGCTGAAGTATAAACATGAATGTGAAGGAGTATTTTTGCTTGGCTCAATTGGTAAATCCTTAGCTAAAACACTGGCCAAGTTTTGTTATTGCATTTTCAAGGTGATATAGAATGAAACTGCAAGTGTAAAAAATGTCAAAAACATATGACCTATGGGACACGTAAGAGGAATTATGGAGCTTTTATTTAGACAGGAAATTTCCAATATTTAAAAGACAGCATCAGAGAAGGAAGAAAATTTGTTCACTGGGTCATTGGGCATCTACTGAAGGAAAAGAATGCAGAAAGCTTGAATTGTTCCATACAAGATTTAGACTAGACCTTAGGGAGGACTTTTTGACAACACTGCTAATATTGGTGTGAATTGCTAGGAAATTGTAGAATTTCTATCATCCTAGATTTTTTAAAGACATCTGTCAGATCTAGATCTTAAAAGTTTAAGTACAGATCACTTTGATTTAGAGCAGTCAGTAGACTACATTAGCATTCAGCATCCATTTAAGCCCTGTTTTTTTCAGACATTTGAGGACTGGATTCTTTGATTTGGTAAATTAATATTATTCTGACTGGACAGCAGTGCATGCTGTCTTTGTGTAGTTTTATTTTCTTCCTCATTCCAGCTCTCACTATCTCTCACGCTGTCTATAATTTTATTTAAATACTCAGCTACTGTTCCTCACATCCATAATCCTTTCCATGGCTTGCCAATCACTGCTTAGTCTTATTTCCTGTATTCTATCATATTCCCCTGCTCATTTTTCAAACAGTCAGTGGTGATCTGTTCTTAGTTTTATAAGTACAACCTCAAATTTCCTTTTACTTACTTATTTTTAAAATCCAGATATATAACAATTGAGTGTGTCATATTAAGGTAGATACAATCACCTTATTTAGTATTTTCCCTTAGGAAATACGTGCTACCTTGGCTAAAAGCTCAGGTTAGCTCACTGAAATCTTTTGCTTAATCGTTTTCAGGGAAGAAACAGTTTGTGCTTTAAATTTAGTGCAAGCTGTTGGAAGCATTTATACACTAAGGTAAGGCTTAAAGAATAAGGCCACATGCAGAGGTGACAACTGTTTAAAGGCACTTGCTGATCCCTGGCACTAGCAGCTGCCAGTGGTGCTTATGCCAACAGTGGGTGAGTTTGCTCAAAACGAAGCAGTGGAGCCCAAGCTCCACTGCTTGGTGGCACAACACATGCTACCATGATGGCATGGCACTGTCATGATGGCATGGAACCTCTGTGTTGACATGGCAGCTCAAGAGTGGCCCAGAAGCATTGTGATGGCATGGCACTGCCATAATTGCAGAACACCAAGACAATGGCACATCACCACTATGATGGCACAGAACCCCTGTGATGGCACAGCACCACAGCGATGACATGGCATCTCTGTGATGGCACAGAACAGCCATGATGGCACAGCACTGCAGTGATGGCATGTTCTTCTCTCTGTAAGGTGGACTCCCTCAGCCCACACAGGCAGAGTTTGGGCATGACTGGCACATTACAGCAGAGTGTGCAGATCAACAGGCTCTAGACGAGCATAATTCTTACTACTTACAGTGACAGAAGTAGTTGTAGAAGAGAGTTGCAAAATGCTTTTGAGGAGGAAATATATCACCTACGTTCCTTAACAGAAGAAAACCAAGATAATTATTTTCAAAATCTTCACTATCAGGTACTTTGTGAGCAGACTCCATTAAAAGTGATCCGTTTTTCAAGGACATTTATCCATGCTTTCCTGGTAATCGAGCCCATTTTACGACAATCTTGATTATTATTCAAGGGAGCAGGTATCTATTCACTCAGAGCTACCTGCTAACCATGATCTGAGAGCACAGTGTCATTTTCATAAACAGGAATATACCACCAAAGTTATGTAGAGCTACATGGAAAATAACAGTTCTGTAGCTGTTCTGTTCCAAACTGATTATTTCAAAACACACAATTTTTTAAAAATTTGTTTCTTAAAAGTACAAAAGTCTTCAAATGGTTGGAGACAAATTCATTTCTGAGAAGCAAAGGCAGAGAGAGACGTACTGTGCAAAACCTTTAAAGTAGAACTGGGCAGATGAATATCTTGCTCAATCCTTTGCTTTACAGCAAGCCAAGATGTAGCAAATGATGGCATAAAAACTGTGAAGGAGACATCATGCCTGATGATATAGACTGGAAGAAATTTGGGCTAACGCAACATGTATGGCTGCATTAACCACCCGTGTAACCAGTGAAAGATATTGTCCTAAAGAACCGCCCCAAAAAGCTGATTCATATAAATGCCCAGGGAAAGCAGAAGTGTGTACATCTACCTCAAACCAACCACTCATGTTAACTCTCAAAGATGATGAATGTTTTTAAGTGTTTTCCTTCCTTAAGTTTAGTCCTGAACATTCTTTAACTTCCTTAGTTATTGTTTAATTTTGCATGATTTTAACAGACAATTACATAAATGTCAGACCCAGTGTTGCCTGATTCTGCTGAAGAATGCTTACAATAATGTATGTAAAAAGGCACCAAACCTATCCCTGAAGTGTCTGTTCATTACAGAAACCACGCAAATGTGGGTTAGTGACAAGAACAAGAGTAACAGGAAAGGACTAAAAATGCTTCTTTGCTATGGTTCCTTAACTTTTTCATACCTACAGTTACACTGCAATTCCACTTATTCTGTGGTCTCTGTAATTAAAACTAAAAGAATCATCTCACTTATTTTTAAGAGAGAGATACCTTTGGTTTTATGCATAGATCACAAAATGGTGAAGTACATGTGGAGATTAGAGGAACCTCAGAAACCCATTTTGCGGTAGAATTGTCTATGCAGTAAAACAGGTCATGAAATTATCTCCTAAAACTTCTATTAAATGAAATTATTCTACAATTTAAAAATTAGAATCTAAACACCACCTTCTGGATCTCTAAGCTTAATCCTGTTAGAAGTGTTTCATACACTACTGCAGATATTAAACATAACAATTACATTAAAAGAGCACTGAAGTTGTGAAGCATGTATTCACACAGCACTCATAATGCATTGGACTCCTTTAATGACTGATTTTCTTTTTTCTCCTAATTGTGCTGTGTAGTCTATGCCTTTTTTATTGTACACAATGCACCTACTGCACTGAATTAACTTAGAGGTTCTTCCATAAAGCACATCTATATAGGAACTGAATACTTTCTAAACCTTTTTTTTTTTCCAAAAACTCCATGAGATTAGAGATATTGTTCTCTCTCTTTTGCTGACTATGAAATGCACAGAGACACTAAGGTCAAAAGTACTTACTAATTTTGGTTACTCAGTTTGAGACACAACATGATTTTTCAGTGTATGCAGCATAATACAGGCTTCATTAGATTCAAAGTGCTTCTGTTAACTTCAGGGACTGCTATGAGCACTCTTTCAAATGAGGCTGCAGTACTTCAATATCCATAAAACAATTAATAAATGGATGACCATCTAAGGTAAGAGAAGCCTAGTTAAAGATACTTGCGTAGTGTCTAGTTATGTGGCAAGAGACAGACAGTAAATGTCTCAGTTATCTAATGTTGCCTCATCAGACCAACCCAATTTCTTGCTGCCTCTTTTCTTTACAGCCCTGTCTCCTTCACTGAATAGCTTATTTTCTACCATTTACTGCAAGAGTAGCCACCCTTTGGGGATCATATAAACCGTATGCCAAAAGAGTCAGTGAGTAACAACACCTGGAGAACTCTAGGATATGTTAATGGCTTCCTGAGGATCCAACCAGTCCTTGCAGAAGAACAATCTTCAGTAACATCGCCTGTAACAAATCACTGATACCCTTATTAAAGTAAGATCTATGCAGCCCATAGCATGCAAGATACCATTGAATGTTTGAAAACCTATATATCCCTTAAAAACTGTTGATCCAACTGTTTGTCCCTTGGCTGCAGGCCATCCTCTTCACTTTTCATCAACTACTTCCAGTCTGCCTAGAGAATCCGTCCAGCCTTCCCAGGGACTGCTGGTGGACAATGGGTTGGCCATGGGCCAGCAGTGTGCCCTCGTGGCTAAGGCCAATGGTATCCTGGGGTGCACTACAAAGAACATGGCCATTAGGTTGAGGGAATTGATGGTCCCCCTCTACTCTGCCCTGGTGAGGCAACAGCTTGAGTATTTTGTCCAGTTCTGGTCTCTTCAGTTCAAGAAAGACAAGAACTTCTTGAGAGAGTCTAGTGGAGGGCCACAAAGATGATGAAGGGGCTGGAGCATCTCCAGTATGAGGAAAGACTGAGAGTGGATCTTAATAATGCTTACAAATATCTAAAGGAGAGGAGTCCTGTAGGTGAGGCCCTTGTTCTTTTCAGTGACAGAACAAAGGGCAGTGGGCACAAGAAGGAACACAAGCAGTTCCACAGGAATGTGAGAAAGAACTTATTTACTCTGAAGGTGACAGAACACTGGAACAAGCTGCTCAAAGAATTTGTAGAGTCTCTTCTGGAGATATTAAAAATCCACTTGCATGCTTTCCTGCATAACCTGCTCTTGGGAACCTGCTTTAGCAGGGGGAGTGGACTACATGATCTCCAAAAGTCCCTTCCAACCCCCTGCAGTTCTGTGATACTGTGTCACTCCATCATTCAAGAGACTGTTTCCTCCCTTCTTTCACCTCAAAAGCTCAGCTGGGTTGGTTGTTCCCTTGCACACACCCCTTGCTTCATTCTCGTCTTCCCACATCCCTGTCAGATTTCCACTCTTGATCTATCAACGATTTAGGAGATGTCCTCCTCCGTGTGGTCCAAGCATGAATGTTGAAAGTATAAAGATGACACCTGACAAGAGAAAACCTTGCTCAGAGTCAGCTCACCTATTTGATATGAACTACCTCTTCAGAAAAGCCCTTCTTAGTTTGGGCCAGAGGTGCCCACACAGCATCTTTGGGAACTTTGGCTAAGAGTCCTATTTACATTTCTGGTCATATAGGTGGACTAGCAGTTTTTCAAAAGGCTATGAGACCAGCTGTCAGCAGATATAAACATCAACTGCACACTAAATTTCAAGATTTGTGCACCACAGTATTAATACAATAAAACTTTTCAAACCATCACTAGGCTTTTTAGAAAAGTCAAAAATACCATTTTCCTTCGCTTTTTTACTGGAATAGTTCTTCCTAGTCAGTCTTAGGCAGCAAACATGAGCTCAAGTGGTTAATATTTGCTATGTGATATAGAGAAATAAAATCTTGCTGTTACAAATGGAGAGATGTCTGACTTAATAATATCGTAGCAATGGGAAGTGTCTGTACAACACAATTATAGAGCCAGGAGCTTTCCTAATCCCATTAGCCTCTGTCTCCTCTGTTTCCACTGAGCTGGAAAGCTGTTTTCCTATTGCAGTGCATTAGACAAGCTCCAGTACCGCACAGAAAGTACAAAGTACAAAGACCTGATAGTGAACAGAGAAGGAAGGCAGTGTGTGAGGGGAGAGAGCTTGCTGCCTCTTCCTCATTGTGAAGGCTCTTCTCTGCTGTATGAACCCACGTGGACATTTAGACTACATTGCTGAGACAGGTCCTGGAAGAAGTGTGAAGTTCAGTTCCCCCAGCCACATGGAAACTGTCCCAAATGGTAATTGTAATTCTCTCCTCATGATTATTTCTGTCTCCAATCAGTGAGCTTAGACTGAAATGATCTGACATGAGTCCCAACACCATAATTGGAGATGGAAACAACAAAGAGGAGATCTAAGAGAAAGGAAGAGCTCTTTCAAACTGCAGTCAGAACAACTGAGCTCATGGATCTTGTTGTCTGACAGAGCGTTTTTTGAAGGAAAGGGAAACATGTACACATTAGCCATGCTGAGGCTCGCTTTCCACAAAATTGCCAGCAGTTAAATTTACATGGGTCTCTTATGTAAGCATTCCTGAAAATCTAATTGAGTTTTCAAAACTGCAGAAGTTCTGGCAAGGTCCAAGCATTATAAAGACGAATAGATGTCAGTTTGTTTCCAGAACTTTTGAAAAGGAAGATGTTTTGTACCAGGATGTAGTGTTGATTCTTATTCCGATCTTGTTCTGATCTCCATTTTGATTTTGTAAATTCTTAGAAATTTGTATGAACTTGAGAACTCCATTTTTCAAACAGATTTCCACGCATCACACACATTCCATCAGAAGGAGAATGCCTTCTTTTCCTTCTCTGCTCTTGCTAGTTGTTTTGTTGCTGTTCATTGTTTTTTCAAATCCTTTGGAAAGGAATTCTCCTTCTCAAAAGCAATTTCTCTCCTGCAGCTGAGTTCTAGGGCTAGCTGTGATGAGGACCTGTTAGTAGTCTTGTAGGCAAGTCAGTACACTCAGCCTTCATTCTTCAAGAATCTGCAGCCTGTCAAATATCCAAAAATTCAAATACCCCAAATCTCTCTCCATCCCATACACAAAGCAGCAAAAGGTGATTGAACACAATCTCCACTGCCTTTACAGAAGAAATGCCGCAGCGGAGTGGGGAGAAGAGCATCAGGAAGGTTGCTACTGCCACCAAGATGAGGTGGTAGGTCTGCTTCAGACTGCAAACACAGGAAGGAATATTTAAGTATTTGGAAGGTGTTTGCTAAACAGCTTTTCCCATCCTCTCTGGGAAAGCAGACAGATGGAAATGTACTGGGTGGTAGCTTCAGCTCATGGTCTATTGGCTGAACTACATTGATCAAAAGCAATAAAACACTCGTATGTGCTTTATTTATTAACGTTTGTAAAATGCTTTCAAGTCTTGACAAACAATTTCCTTGTTAATATTATGAAAATAGTGATAATTAATTAATTAATTGGGATAACAGAGTTCTACTGCAGTAGCACACATAATGAAATCAGTAGCTGGCATCTCTGCAACTGTCATGTCACAGTTATCATACCAGGTGGTAAAATACGCATGTGGCGTGATTATATATCAAATCTTTCAATTTGCATTTTATTTCACAAGTGAATCAACAGGCAATCATTATTTATCATTTTTACTATTTGATTGATTTTTTTGAATTTACTGCTATAGTTCTGGGAATTATTTCAAAGGACAGATGGTGAATGCTTCTTATTTCTTTGTTGCACTGTTCACAGTCTAGTTCTCCGACCTTCACTGCACTGCCAGAATAACTCTTATGTGAACAGAAAAGCAGCACTAAAAGTTTTAGCTACATGATTTCAAGATAGGTAAAATCATTGCAATTTTTCATATAATTAAGTAGTATTATTTTGTATTCTAATTTTGGTAGCTATAGACTTTGGCTTGTAGCAGTCTAACAAAATATTGTCCTTTCACAAAAAAGATATAAGACAAAATAACCACAGAATTGGTACCTAATGACAGAGAGGTGAGAACTGGAGAAAACGTGACAAGCAGTGATAACAGCACAGTAACCCTGAGTGTCAAGTCTTTCACCAAGTAGCTCATTGTCAAAAATCTAAAAAATAAAAACAAATAACGAGGACTATGGGTATTGGAGTGGTTCCAGTATGCACAAAGATCTCTTTCCCATCATGCAGGGCAGATGGAATGTAACAAGTAAGGTTCTTCTCTGAAATCTCAACAACTGGGTGGTGAAATGTGTCATTCACACGCAGATGTAGATATCTGCATTTTGATGGAGGAAAAGAGAAAGCTGGTTGAAGAAAAAAAAAAAAAAAAAAGTAACAACCATAATTAGGTTCTAATGGGAAAGAAACCCACAGAGAATGGCCACGTAGATAATGTCACAAAAAATGATCTTTTGGAGGAATGTGATCAAGAAAAGGTAGAAGTGCTCAAGGTTAGGAAAAAAAAAACCTGAGTAGCAGGAAAACGTATGCTGCTACCTTACACTATGGATTTAGCTGTGATGCTCACTAGAAAGCGATATACATCAAAGAGAGTGTTAAAGAAAAAAATTGCAACTCATACAAAATAGTTGTGTATAAGGAATGAAGAAATCTAATAACAGGTGAGATAAAATACGAGCAATTACAATAGCACAAATGATAGAAGAGATCAAGTTAGAGGGAAAGAGAAATAATTTTATCCAACATGAACAGCCCAGAAAATACTGGAGACAATATCCAGTATGCCTTAAATTGTAGCGCACCGAAATAATGATGAATGATCTCTATAGTGAAGCTTCTCATGTTGCAAATAATTATTTAAAGCCAGTTAAAGAGAGGCATTTCCCAAACCTAAGATACTAAGAACTATTAATGTCAAACTGTCATCTCCTAAGAGCTCTGAAAGTATTAAAAATAATTGCTAGTCATCAAACAAATGATGAGGGCCTAATTTTACATGCCTGTTTCAAGGCAAAATTCTCACAGCCGTCAGGTTGATAAGTCAGGGGAAAAATGCCCAATAACATTTTAGTATAATAGCTCTTGTTATAAAAAGCCAAAATGTGTATTTTTAATCATCTATTTTAATCTTTTAATAAGATGTTTTAATTGAAATTTATGTGTTACATAACATTATATTAAGCTAAATTAATCAGTATCCTTCAGTAATGGTTGCCCTGGAAGAGGAATTCTGAGTGTGTATTCAGTCTCAGCACTGCATTTCAGACCTGTACTGGAATGGAAAGCTGGAGTGCTTTACATGGAAAGTGCTCATTACTGAATAGCTGGAAATGTTTTTAGAATTGCACAGTAACAATTTGCCAGACAATTAGTAAATGTCAGTTTCCCAATTAATGTATACTATTTCTAGAACATCAGAAATCTAATGTTTGTCGTCTATGCTCCCTCCAAAGGGAAAGGGAAATTATGCCAAACAAAGGGGGGAGAAAAAAATAAAAAAGAAAAAGAAAATAAATTACACAGGAGTGAAAGGACAGAATCTAGGATACAAGTAATTGTGTTCTCTTATATGGAATTCTACACCATGGCTTGTGTAGGGACATTCTGGGGCAAAAAGAAGCACACAAAATCTGTTGCTTCTATGCATAAATAAAGGCAGTAGCTATGATGAAAAATAATATATATATATATATATATGTATACATACATTTATCCAAGAGGCAAATTTCATTCACAGCACTGCTAAATTCTCTGGTGAAAATTTACAAGCACATCACAAAACAAGGACAAATAGCCACTCTATTCCAAACCTTGGAAGATATTACAGTAAACTGTAACAAGAAACCACCACCACCACAAAACAGTTCATTGTTGTTGTTTTTTTATTATTCTGTATCTGCATATAAAGATTGGACACAGCTGTAGATCTTAAGCCACAGAACAAACCACTTGTTTGAGATCAGTCATGGTGATGCACAGAACTCCTGAAGGGTGGAGCTGCAGAAAGACAGAAATCCTGCCTCCTATCTGCAGCAGAGAGTATCATCAGCTGGTATGCATGTGACCTAGAATAGGAACATTCACCAGCAACATCAGTGCAGACACATCTGGGAGTCCTGGAGCACCTCCCCTATGAGGAAAGGCTGAGAGCTGGGGCTTACCAGCCTGGAGAAAAGAAAGCTCCACAGAGAATTTATAGCAACCTTCTAGTACCTGAAGTGCCCTACAGAAAAGCTGAGGAGGGACTTTTTATGAGCAATAGGGTGAGGGGAAATGGCTTTAAATTGAAAGAGGGTACATTTAGACTGATACTGTGAGGGTGGTGAGACACTGAAACAGGTTGCCCAGAGCAGCTGTGGAGGCCCCCTCCCTGGAAGCATTCAAGGCCAGGCTGGACGGGGCTTTGAGCAAAATGGTCTGGATGGAGGTGGATTTCAGAAAGCAGATTTTAAAGAAAATCTGTCCTCCTCAGCCATGTGACACGACCAAGACTACGAACCTCTGTCTGTATTCCATCTGCATCTGCATTGCTAAAAGTCACGCAGCAGGAACAGCAGAAAGCTTAAGAATCCTCAAGTCATTGTAACACAGTAAATATGTGATAAATATGGTGATGATCATTCACACTGCAGGTCAATGTGCATGGGCTACAGCACATAACATGTTCACCAGTAAAAGACAGATGATTGTGTATTTGCAAACTACAGAATATTCTTTCTGCATAAATATATTAAATCACATTTATGCCAAATATATTACATACTCATGTCAAGAGAATAGACCCCATCTGTACTGCAGAGATGTAATTAGCATTAATTAATATGTTCACATTGTCTGGTGTTCATATATTTTGCCCTGAAGTCATAAATGTGGCATGGCATTTAGCGAGGCAGTATTCATGAGCCTTCATTTGAATTCCAAACATTTGTTTTTTTCTGATCTTTTTACTAACCCTTATTATTAACTGTTTCTTGGCAGTTATGGAAAATAAGGTTTGCTCATTGCAGCAATAGAGAACTTGCTGTTCTTCCTAAGATACTGTCACATGCAAAGAAGCTTGCTCAGCAGCTGATACCTAGCTGATACAGCTACCTTCATCTTGTGGCACTGATACATTAACAAACTTCACAACTGAGTACAATTAGCAAAATTGCTCAAAAATGTTTGAGCAGGTTATTAGCAATCTAAGATAAACTCCTGTTCAATTGAGTCATTTGGTAAATAACATCTATGTATTAATCAAGGTGATACTGCAAGACATTCAGGGACAAACACACATCTACAACAGCACTAATTAATTAAACTAATTCACAGAGATCTTCAAACATGAAGCCACTTTCATGCCCCACTCATGACCAACACACGTCTGGACAAGATACTCTTGTTCTTACAAAGAAAAAACATAAACCTGTGACAACCCTCTGTTACTTACTTTTTTTCCTATCACTGCAGATCTCATTTCTGGTTCTGGTCATGCTGATGCTATATTAGTAAATAAAAAACACCCAGAGTACTTTGGGCTGAATTTCTTTGGTAAAAGTCCTTCATATGAGAAGTATTTCTCTTCAGAAAGTTATACTGTAGGCTGCATGTATTTTCTGCATAGCTTTCAATAACACCTCTTTTTATTTCTGAGGGCTTCTTCTTACATCTTTACTTTCTGCAAATAGCTGTAATCTATTTTTTTCCCTTCATGTACTGCTACTACAGATATTAACAACAGTAGCTAAAATTGCAGGGTAGGTGTTCAAGTGGCTGATTACCCAGATGACTGGAAGCACCTGGGCTAGCTACCTTAACAATAGCTTACTATTTCTACAGAGAATGCTGTATCCACATATCCAGGAGAGGAAGGATAGGGCTCTGAGCACCCTGATCTAGCTGTGGCTGCCCCCATTCATTTCAGGGGAGCTGTACTAGATGACTTTCAAAGGTCCCTTCCAACTCAAATGATTCCATGATTCGAGTAACTTACAATACTGTAAAAATTTTTAAAATCCATACAGTTCAACCCCTAGAAAAAAACTATGACCCTTCTCTAGCAGAAACAAGTTTACCCTTGAAAGAATCAGAGGCAATTTTATCACATTTTAATTGTATGTCTTTCAATCCATAGCCTACTCCTTTTTCACACTTTTAGAGGCACAGCTCACCTTTTGTAAGCAGCAGTCACAAGTGTGATGTGCTCCAGTTATATATATATTGGGCCACTGTTTGTGTTTGTTAGCGCCATAACCGCGATGGGCTTTGGATGAAGCTCTTCCTATTGCTCATTTATGCACCATTTTCTCAGCAGCAATGAGGCTTTAGGAAGTCATCTTCACTAGCAGTAACCATTTATTCAGCGTAGCTTTGGTTGGCCAAAGGTTTGCAAGGCTGCGTGGAAAACTAGATCAGTTCACTGATGTAACTGAAATATAATTTGGCAAGAAAAACAGCTATTCAGTTCTCTAATCTGATTTAGTGTATGAATCTGCAAGCAAGTGTCACAGCATGAATGAAGGAGCAACAGGATGGAAAGTCATTACACAGCTATACTGTAGAGGAATAGGTGAACAGTAAGTCTGTGCAGATACAGGTACTGAGTCCACACCAGCAGGGACTAACTTAATTGAATTGCTAACATTTTGAGCTGCTAATCAAATCACTCTTTGGAGCTGTATCATCACAGCATGATCACTCTTGCTTTAGCTAGGCTACTGCAGGTCACTGCTATTTGCTCTTTATTCAGAGCAATCGGCCAGAAAAAAAAATTAACTCAAGGTATCATAAATGAGGGTTTCAGTACAGATTAATCTTAAAACAAATCTTCTGAAATTGGTCATAGGAAATGCATCACCTGCTTTTTCAATTCTTTTCATTTATGGTATAATATCAGATTTGACAGTAATATGATCCTTTGCAAATCACAAAAGCCAGAAGGAGAAGTGACAGAGATAAGTTGCACCTTCAGTGCAGCCAAACAAGGGCACAGTGGATTTTACATTAACAGTGTATTTGCCAGCACCCTCAGGTTTTAAACAAGGTGAATGTCCTTCTTAATGGGGAATAACACCACATTTCTCCTCCAGCTTGAACAGTCCACATGGGTAGCACGTAGAAAAATAGTTCAAGCCAATGGAGTGGGGAAAAATCTGTGACAATTTTATTGCTCTAATGCGTTTAAGAGAAGAGTTCCTTAACAAACTTTGTTAGCTTTGGGACAGTACTAAGCTTATTGCTTGATATGCTGGTACCAGTGCCTGCATAATGAAAACGTGAAGATATGACAAGAAACTACAAACTGAGTACATGCAGCGTGCTATACGTAGAGCCTGAGGTTTTTTTACCATTACAATTTAACGCTATTAAAACTCATATTTCACCTTAGTAATGGAGTTCATGCCAAGTCTCACAATCAATCCATTTCTGAGTTATCCAGGATCAGATAACATCTGAGCAATTTTCTGGAAGTATGAGAACCACAACAATCTTACAATACTCAGATCATTAAAAATGAGCAAAATTGATTTTCCTTTAACTTTAGAGAAATGTTCACATCTGAGTGAACAAACATAAGAGTTTCCAGCAGATACAGTCACTTCCTGGAAAAACTGAGTTGCTGAAAACGAAGGTGTAAAAAACCAGAATCCCTTTAAATAAAGGTCTATAATCACAAGAAACAGCAATATATTTAATGCAGAAAATAAAATGTTGCATATAAGCCACTTTAAGTAAGTTTCAGGAAATGATACACAGCTGTGTATCATAAGGTTATTTGAATGTTATGATAAGACTACTGCTACTTCTCTACAGAAGTTCACATAACCTGCTGTTTTTAAATAGAATCATAATTATGTGTAATTACCATTATTAATTATATAAAATAATCACCTCTTAGTTGCCTGCACACTATTGCAAACAGTTTCTGCAGTAGAACAAAGAACTCACAATGTAAACAACAGAAAATACCTTATGAAAAATTAAATTTGAAGTACATCCATACGCAAATGTTCACTAAAATACCTTCAAGTGTCTATCCTGAAAAATCAACAAACAGGCAAAGATGTTCATAAATGTGACTTCTGCTTCTCTTACAATGTAGAAGACTCATACTAGAACTGACATTTAATCTTTACTTCTTATCAGTAGCAAAAAAAAAAAGTTATGTAGGAAATTACTTGTTCAAGGAGTTCTCAGAGCTTTTATTTGATACCTTCAGTTCAGAAACAACAAAAGCCAGCAATTTCTCTGCCACTGAGGATGGGTACTTTTTTGTGTGTTCTTTAAACTGCCAACTATCTCTGAAAATCAGAAGTTATACGTGTAATACATCAGGACTAGACTTCACCACACCTTCTTCAAAGAGATGGCTAGAAAAAAAGCATTTTTTCCCCTACTTTTTTTTTTTAATACAATATTTTCAGAAAGAAAGTGGTCATGAGATTGTGCTTAATCAGTGGAAAAGCCTAGATCGACAATTGTCTAGGGCTGCTGTTTGTGGTTTGATTTGTTTTTATTTAAAACGAGCACAGATCTGGTAGGAAAGAATACGAGCCTTGCATCAGTTGACTGTAAATGTGTGCTGCCCCTATGTGGCTGTTTTTTGAGTATCTTGATGTTTTCAAACAAACATGGTTGATATGTGGTTAAATGTTCCCAATGTAAAGAATTAGCACAACACATATGCACCATTTGAATCCTACTTAATCTCTCAAAATTGATTCTATATCATACATAGATTATATTACGACTATTTCAGTCCTTATTCTGCTTATTGCAGAATATATATATATTCATATATACACACATACACATATAAAATAAGCAGAATTATCCTAACATTCTAAAGATAACAATGAGACTTTAAAGCATAAGGAAAAGAAATGTCTTTCTTTAGCTTAGAAATAGCGCCTGCAAATTTCAGTTGAAGTGCCTCTACACCAGAGTAAACAGCTAGGGAAATAAACAGGAGGAAATAGAAGCTAATGCACTACTATTTGGTACATATGGAACAATGTTTTGAAAGATGATATTATTGCTTTTTTAGGGTTTTTAAAATTATGTAATGTGCTCTTATGCTGAATCTTAGTGAAGCTTATGCTTATTACTCATATTAAGTTTCAAGCTAAATTTGACTTAGCCATGCTAAGATCATTTTTGTAAGATCTACACACAATTCTTTTCTATATATGCAGGTCCTAAAGATCATTATGTGGTGCTTTGGAGACAATGTAGATTTCACTGCTGTGTTCCTAGCCTCCTGATCAACACTCAAGTAAGGAAGTTCTCATAGGACTCCCTGTCTTGGATAATATTTGTAGTTTCTCAAATATGTCAGCATCCTTTCAAAGGCCACTGCTGAAACAGACGTACAGAAGTGAATTCCATACTGCAAACTACTATCACATATCATAAGTATGATGATAAAATCCTTTAATTTCTCCAAAGCATATGAGACATTCCAATCATTACGTCCCATTTGCTCATGCATTATGGAACATTCTTGAAAAAAGTGACAACAACAATACAAAACATTCTGCTATTTATGCCAACAGAATAACAGGCCTGTAAAACTGTTAACAAAAAAAATAAAATAAATCGGTCTTTCAGTGGATTGTACAAAGTCATATAATTCTAACAATAGTAGCCCAGTCTTTTTTTTGAAGGGCTATGATATTTCAAAATCATGGACTTAGCAAGTTCATCAAGCTTTTCACTTATCTCTGTAACACTATATAAGGAGAATGTTTTATTAATGAGATTGTATATTCCATATGAAGATAACATGCAAACAAACATTAGTCTTACATCTGCTTATGTCTCCAGAAGGCTCGAGACTTCTCTTCCTCCCTCCCCAAATGTGTCTGTCACAAGGCCGTCCTGCATCGCCTTGCTTTCCTGTTTCTTTTTCTTTATTACGAAGGGTACCTAAAAAGACAAACAAAAAAAGAAAATAAGAATTACAGACATTAAAAAATAAAACCTCATACATAGAGATTACAAATGTATCACTGTATAATCAATGAATATAAAGACACCATAATTATGAAATAAAGAAGAGAGTTTAGCAAAGCAGATTATAACAACAAAAAGAGAATAGAATGCTTACCTGCATCCTGGGCTCACAGCACAACTCCAGAGGAGAGAGCTCCAGAAAAGATCCTTCTCCACTGGTAGTCAGCTCTTAAATGGGTCTAGGAGAGGTGCAGCCAGGCTCCACCTCTTCCAGCAGCACAGGTGAATTGCCTTCACCTGTGCTCCCAGGGCTGACTCATTGCTTGCCCCAGGTGATCAATCAGAGGTTCAGGACATGATTCAGCAGTTCCCATACAATCACCTACCTCATCAATCAACCCTGCAGCAATTGTTCTTAAAATAGCCTAGAGTCAGTAGTAAGAGTTAAAAGACCTCATCTTATTTCCACTTTCTTCTGTTCACCAGCATAGTAAATTTTTCTTCACAGTTCTTGTTTTTGTTGACATCATATGAAGATTTTGAACATGGAAATTTTCTTGTTAGTAGAACATTAAAAAATCCTATGTTGTAAGATCTCCATGGGGAAAAAAATCGTAGGTTTTATGTCAAAAAAGTATTTCCCTGCTTGCCATGCAATCTTTTCTTTGAAGGTCAGTCTTCAAATAGGCACTTGATAGAATCAAGTAAAGAGGACAACACACAACAGCCAGTGATCAAATTTTCCGGTCACTTGCAAATCTTGGAAGTAGTACTACAACCTCAGAAAAGTTTGATAACTCAAAAGGCAGAATACAGTGGAGAGCATCTATCCACCTGCTGGAAAACATGGAAAATCCTTCCAAACCGCACTGGATCCTAGGTGTATGCAGACTTCCTATATTTCATAAACCACACTTCAAGAGTTAAACTACTTCTTTAAATACTGAAGTATTAAGTATTTAAAGAAAAATACTTATTAAATGAAAGCACTTTTGACTTCATAGCTTATCTGTGTGGTAAATTAAACTTGTCCAGCTGCCTGACATCTACTCAGCTGCCCACTCACTGCCCCTCCTAACCAGTACAGGGGAGGAATATAAAAGTGGTCACGGGCCAAGGTAAGGACAAAGCAATCACTTACCAGTTACCATCAGGGCTTAACAAACTCAACTTAGGCAAAACTAATTTAATCACAAAATACTTGAATTGAGAAAGAAAGAAAAAAAAAAGAGAGAAATTACAACATTTTCTTCCTATCCGTCCCCTTTCCCCAGGCTCTACTGCACTCCTTTTATTCTTGACTTCTCTAACCCACCTAGGAGCCCAGGCAGGGTGATAGGATTATGGCCCTTTCTGCTATTCCTTCCTCCTCACAGCTTTCCCCTGCTCCAGGGTTGTTTTCCACAGACTGCAGTCCTTCAGGATAAACCTGCTTTCCTGTGGGCTCTCTGTGGGCTGCAGTTCCTTCAGGAAATATCCACCTGCCCTGGCATGGCAGTATGATAAGTGCTCCTCTGTATCTTCTCCACCATGTTCTCCTCCTGCACCATGGCTGCGGGAGAACCTGGGCTCCTGTACCCATAGCACCTCCTCCCTGACCTGTTTATCCAACCTTGGTGTTCACAGGGCTATTTCTCATATTTTTTTTCCTCACTCCTCACTGACACACAACATTCTGAACTTTTCTCAAACCCATTTCTCCAAGGCACTGCTGTGTTGGCAGTGGGGCACAGCATCACCCTGTGCTAGAGTCATTGGAGTCAACTGGCACTGGCTGTGTCCAGCACAGGGAGCCCCAGCCTCTCCTCACAGAGGCCCCTGCCAGCACTTGGGCACAGACACACAGCACATGACATTCAAAATTCACAGGTTTGAGAATCAGTAATCTCTTCTGCCACCAATGTGCATTAGCAGTAGGGGTGAACTGGATGATCTCCAGAAGTCCCATCTAACCCCTAAAATTCCATGATTCTGTGATCCACAGCTTCCTTATTTTCTCAAGAGAATACAACTTTTATTCAGATGATGGTATAATGAAAACAATTAAAGAGATTTAGAGAAGACAAGTTACTAAAGATACCTCACTTCAGATCGGGGTGACAGACAGGATAACAAAGGATATTAATGAGAAAAATATTACGAGAAACTTTTATGTATACTAACTTGCAATTACAAGAAAGTAAATGTATTATGTAAACATACATTGGCCAGAATCAACACAATAACTAGGGAAATAGGAAAGAGTAAAATATATTTCTGATATAATGGAAACCAGCAGAATGTAGGCCTACCACCAGAATCTTTCGCCTACCACCAAACTCAGTCACATGGAGTTCAAATCTGCACCTACCATCACACAGAGTTATCAGCAGGGCTAGAACAACATGTAGGAACCATAATTGGAACATCCAACAATTGGCTCCATACAGGCATAAGGATACTGTGCTTGACATGTGGACCTGAGGGTCTAAAAGATCAAATGTTTTCTCTCATACATTACCTTTGGAAAGCACAAAAACTTCCGACATTTCTCTGCTAAATATATTCCATAATTTTGAAAATAACAACTGAGATTTAGTGCAAGGAAAAGAGTATTTGTAATGCCCGTGATAACAAGACACAAGCAGTAGAAAGATCTCATAGTCTACTGCTGGCTGCAAAACTGCATTTTAACACAAAATGTTGTGCAGCAAAGGACATTGCAAACTCATTTCTGCAGCTCTTCATCACAGTCACAACAACCCAATCCTCAGCTTTTTCTTCAGCACTCCATAGACATTAGTAGGCATTAGGAGGAACTTTGTATGAAAAAGCTCAGCAAGCGTAGAACCATATTAGTGGTGATATAATTTGCCAGAGGGAACCTCTGCATATATCATTTCTATTACAGCTGAACAAATACATTGTGAATAATTGGACAGATAAAGCATCTTTCTTTTGAAGAACTGTTGAAGAGAAGCTTACAGTTTACTCAATTTTGTTTGTTATTCAGAGTTACCCAGTGGATAATTAGATGAATGAGTTTTGCTCTGAAGGTTGTTCACAAGCATTTCATACCAACATCTGCAATTTGAACAGTTTCAATTAGATTTCATTGCTTATGTGGGTCACATATTATTGGATCTGACTCCTGCCAGTATGAGTATTGCTCTTAGAATCCAGCATTTGACATGAAAATTTACTTATAAATTCAAAACATATATTGATCAAATACTCTCAAATATTTTGCACTTCAAAGTTAACATTATTGTGAACATTCCTGCCATCATAAAATACCAGAAAGAATAATCCCAAAGCACCAGTAATACAAATCTCTTCTTTTTTTCACTCCTTAATTTTAACGTCTTTATAGATTAAATGTAGGATATTTATTGAGATCAAACTCTATTTTTTCAATTAAGCAAAGCAAAAAAATAATTTGATAATACCTGAGTAGTGATGCCTTTTCACTGCACTCATTATCTGCATGCTGATGTTCTGTACGCAGTTCAACCCCGAAGCACTCTCATGCAGTGCTTTGATTAAAATGATATATTTTTTCCTCCTACATAATTTTTTTGAAGCTGTCAGATACCATTTTCTTCAAGACTATGTGTCGTTCTGTACCTTCTGCTTAGGACTATTTGGAAAATTCCTGAAAGCAGGGAAACGTGTATTTTTAAGGTCACCATTTTCAAAGGTTATTTTAATATTTGAAATTAAAATCTGCAGACTCTCTTTGATATAAGTAAAATTTTGTATTTGCATTAAAGCAAATCAGAAATATCATCGAAGCCCAAGAAATACAGCTTAAATTCTTCTTATCTGTCTTTTTCCATAATTTCCCATTCCAATATTTGAAGGGAACATATAAACAGGAGAGCAACGGCTGTTTACATGAGTGGATAGTGATAGAACAAGGAGGAATGGTTTTAAACTGAGATAGGGGAGATTTCGGTTAGATATTAGGAGGAAGATTTTCACATGGAGGTTGATGACACTGGAACAGGTTGCCCAAGGAGGCTGTGGATGCCCCATTGCTGCAGCCATTCAAGGCCAGGCCGGATGTGGCTCTGGGCAGCCTGGTCTGCTGGTCAGCAACCCTGTGCATAGCAGGGAATTGAAACTAGATGATCTTTGAGGTCCTTTTCAACCCAGGCCATTCCATGATTCTATGATTCATTCTATGATAATTCAAAATAATCCACGTGTGGTAAGAGAAGAGGTAGTTTCTATGTTAAGAGCCAATAAGAAGGAAAAATAAGAACTTCATCCCTTACTTACCAGTGAATTGTCAGCCTTTCCAAAAGAACACAGAGAAAAATTACACAAAAAGTAGATTCTACCTCTGTGCTGTATTGTTTTCCAGAAAATTTCCGAAAATGACTTTCAACTATTTCACATACCAGTGACGAGATGCTCACTATAATGAGAACAGTTGGCAACATCAAAGAAAAGATAAAAATAGTGTTAACACAACTGTGGCATATTTTCTGCTGCTCCAAACACTCACACCATCTGCCTTGGAAGAATAAACACACAAACAGCAAAACTAAGCCTGGAAAACAGGAAATTACTTAAGTCAACGCATGTTCAAACTGCTGTAACTTTGATCTTCCTTCACCAAAAAATAAATAGCCTCGGAGGGACTAGGAGCTGAGTTTTATCTCATTGAACTTTCTATTCCTCCTCTTCAGTGTACAAAAGCTCATAAACAGCAAACATTCAGCTCTGTTATGCTGTCTCTGTGATCTCAAATTAATTTATTCTAAAAACAAGGAGAAAAAAAAAAAAAAAAGGCAGGCAAAGTTTTGATACTGAAAAGATCTACTTTACGGTTAGATCTATTTCTCAGTAAACCCAAACTTGTACCTATTCTTCTGTGCAGAATGAAAGGTGAGTGATAGAGAGCATTTTCTTCTCTGTAGAGTAAATTGAGATCTCAGAGTCAAAGAAATAATGCATGATAAATGAAACATATTTCATTCTAACTCTGGCAGAGATCTTTTGAATGTGTCCTATTCTGGATTTCATTTTGCTTGTCTCTACCGAGTCAAAGATGGCACACAGTTATCCCCATTCTGTTTTATAAGCCTGATTGAAGGAGCCTCTCATTTAGCCTTATCCTGACAGAAGACAGCAATAGTGCAGAACAGGCCTGTGTGGAAGTGTTCTCAGCAAATGGTTTAAGAACCAAACGGGCCACCTAACCAGCCTAGATCTTTCAGCAGAATCACCCAGACCTAAATCATTTCTCACAGTTGTTTAACCTCTTCTTTAAAATCTTGTCTAACTTCTTTAAACATCTTGTTGAAGCCCTACTCAAAAATCATTAATTCCACATCTGCCTTCAGCAAATTTTCTTAGAGCTTATCTGTTCTGACTGCTAAAAAAAATCCTGTGTTTAGTCTAAATTTCTTTTTTGGGATTTACAGCTATTTCTTGCCCAAGCCCCAGTAGTTATGGAGGTCTTTATTCTTCTCCTCTTTACCTATTTTATGTATATCTTCTTCATTCTACAGGATGAATTTCCCTTCAGCCTCTGTTCTTTGTGCTAAAACACATCTCCAACAAAGTCAAAGGGAGAATTCCAACTTTCAGTCCCACCAGGAAAAAGAATACAAGACTCGAGAAAAGCTGTGATGATTTCTTGTGAACTTTAGCACTTTTCACCTGACAAACTGTTATGGCTTGCATCCTGACTTCTTCCCTCCTTTTGAACTACATTTCAAAATTTAAGAAAATAATTTGTTCTTATTTCATTGTAAGAGAAGAACCTTTTCTTTTTACATTCTCTGGTGAATTCAGTTTGTACTAACTGCATTTTAATTAGCAGCTCTCTGCTTCAAAACATATGTTTCTTCAGATTGTTGACATTAAGAGACTGTAATATCAAGTTTGACGAAT